CGATGTAACCTTTGCGTTCACCTTCAGTCCGGGTCCACAAAGAAAATATCGGTCTTCCCATTCCAGGTACTCCGGTCCATACCATCAACCCGCGCCTTGGCGACTGCGGTGAAGATGATATCCTGGACCGTAGCGACGTTGTCGGAGCTGCTCGATGTTGGAGGTCTTCCAGATCAAGAGTGCCGGTCTCCAGGTAGCTGTCCATGGGTGACTTCAAGAAGTTTCGCAGCTGTTGGAGGTTACGTGAATTCCATAGGTCTTCTCCAGTCAGGCTGCGATTGGAGATGACTTCATATTTTGGTGTACATGAAGGTGATGGGCGAGAGCCAGCTCCTGCTTATCGAGGAACATCTTGGGTATCTTTCGCCCTGGTACTCGTATCCACGTGTCCACGTCTTCTGTCTGGACTGCGCGAACTTTACTGATATGTGGCCCAACCAAAGTGTTTTTTCTTGCCCTCCCCCTCTCCCTTATGTTCCCTAGAGAAGTTACGTGGCCATTCGACGTGATCTGTGCGGAGATAGCCTACCTGCAGGACATTTATGTTTAAATTAGGTGCTTTTGCGGGTGCCGCGCTCGTGGTGGGTACCGCGTTGTCGCGATTCGAGCCTTCTGGCCCTCACCATAAACTCTGATGCATACTGCAGCTTTACATAGTAGCGTAGTTTGAGATCTACATACAAAATGAAGCTCTAAGACCGTAATTCCAGAGCAATTTATACAGCATTAAGTACAATGAAAGACATGCACAAAGTGGCATACAATACACTACGAACGACTACAAATTGTATCTAATCACTTTTATACGGTACTAACTAGTATCGATGGACTACAAATCAGTAAAAGCATAAAGAAATCCCTGATTAGCTAAAAATGATAATAGTGAACAATTATAGACGAAAAATACAAATACAAATATACCTGTGTTTTTTATCCACATATGGGACAACTGCTCAAAACTCTTTAGTTAGAAGGTGCATAAAGCAATTCAACTGACTATGCATTCCTCTTCAGCATCTTCCTCAATCGCAGTGTGAACGCTTTCAGTCAGCTGCTTGCACTGCAAACATCACAGTTCAAGTCACACTTTGAGCACATTAAAGCAAACAAATACGGTACGAACTACTTGATGAAAAAACGGTTTGGCTGACCCCCCCCCCCTCCAAGTTGTTTTCAGCTTTCACCGAAAGTTTGGTTTCCTTGCATACGTGCGTATTTCGAAGGGGAGGTTAATTCCACATGCATATATTTAGTTGATCTTCACGTTGTCCAGGAGAAGGTGTAAGCAGCTGGATGTGGTGAAAAGGTTGGTTCAGGGCACGTCCACATTTTCCGCACGTTGTCAAAAAAATATGATCCCTACCACCGTCAACCTAACACGACCCCTTTGCTGCGGATACCCAATGAACAGGATGTCCTAGCTTGATTTCCTAAAAACCGAAGCGGTGGCCATAAAATCAAAGGCATCGGGCACGATGCTGGAGGCGGGCGGTTACGGCCAGATTTATTGGTTTGAAAGGGCTGAATGGAGATATGCCCAAACCTCCTCTCGCAGCCCTTCCACCAATGAAGTTGGCAACAGCAGTCCGCCCCCGCCATCTTGCCCACTGCCCTTGAGCTAAACTTGCTGAAGTCAATGAATGGCTCAACTGCCGATAAGTGGAGTTGTCTACAAAGGATCCAAACTGAAAAAAGGCGGCGGTGGTTGAGACCAGGGTTGGGCGTACGGAAAAAAGGGCCGAGCGACCAGGGCACGGCGTACGTTTGGGATCCTCAGTAAAAGGGTCTATTTGGCAGCTGATGGGGAAGGGCTCATATGCAGCCTGAGAAACATTTTTCTGACAGGATTTTCTCGATTCACGTGTGCGTGTTATATGCCCGCGCACCACGGTCGGCAGCGCTGGAAAATTACTATATTCTTACCGCTGATCACTCTACAACAAAGCTTTCGGGTGCTTGGTAATGATTGGTCGATTAGTCGATCGTGGAAAGGGGCAACTCGGGAAGGGGAGGGGGGAAGGGGGGGGGGTGTATGTAGCGAAAATTTGGGATAAGCCCTCGGCCCACTATGCTGCGTCATGTTTTGCATCAACCTATCGTACCACGTATTCCTTTCCGGAGCCACGAGCCACTTTCCTATTCGGAAAGAAGGCGCAGACAGGGTTAGGTATCGTGATGTGTGAAATGGTGGTGTCAGTACGACCCCCCCCCCCTGAAAGAGGGTCTCGGTACGACCGCCACCCTCCCCAGTACCTACTTCCCACTTTCCTACATATTCCCTGCTTCCTAGCTGTTTTCAAGTCAAAACCGGGAAAAACTTTTCCCACCGCGGTAAATTTCTCTCAAAGGCACATACGACCCCCCCCTCCCAATACTCATGTACCAGCCCCCATTGTTTCACCCAGCCATGCTGTACCCTGGGTGCATACCAGTAGACGAAGTGGCATTTAAGCTTTGCGCGATAACACCTCTTCCTCTCCACCCCCTCCCGCGCCACCCAGCCCCCTTTACGAGTTTTTTTCTGGAAGCTTGACCAGCAAAATGCATATACGACTCAGCTCATCTGGAAACTTCCGCGGAATCACTGTGATCACGGTGGAACCCTACAGAATGCCCAGTTTCTCACCCCCTTATCGGCTTTTTCCTTGCCCAGCTGACTCGGCCTCAGCTGTGCCAAGAGCTCGTTCACGTGAAAAGCAGACCTCTCAGCTGACAGCCGTGGCAAAAGGCTGCAATGCAGGGTGAAAAGAACTATGATCATTGCGAAATTGACTTCTATTCTGCGTCACACACAAACACTCAGGGCACCTTTCTCTTGTTGCTCAGCCCTATTTTTCCCTAGAATTACGTGAGCTAGCCTTTCTTCGTTCTTCAGCCCCGTGATTCCCAGGAAAACACCTTTCCTTCTGACCTTTGATCACTAGTCCGATACATAATGGATTATCTCAGTCCAGTTCCCTTTACAACGACCACATTTCCTGGTAATGCCAGACAAAAACCTTCTGAGCATTACAATCGTTCAGACGAAATCTCTGGCCCCAGAAGTTCTTCCGGGTCTTGCAAACAGGATAGATAACGTGGAAAAAACGCTTAGAAAGTGAGCTTCTCTTAAGGCTTGCCAACATTATGGGGTGTGAGTTCGGATCACCCGGGCGATGGATGCGGTTAGGATTCCCCATAGCGCCACAGGCGCGACAAGGATCGCGATCCCATTCGCTACGCTCCCATGGATGATGGCTAACGCTAAGGATTTCTTTCCTAACCTACACCCCCGGTAAGAAAAAAATTCAATTACCTCTGTCACACTTGCAGCAACAGTCTCAGTCACGCCCGCACCAACAACTGTTTGCACACCTTCAGCTTCAACCTAAAAATATGCTTTTTTGGTAAATAAAATGACAAACAACATCGGCGGTGCCGTTATCACCAGGTTCCATCGCTAAAATTAGAATTTCACAATCTGTACTTACCTTGAGGTAAGACCGTGTTTACAACAGTGCCCGAACTTCTATCAACCGAAAATAGACGTCCGAGCTGCTGTGCAATCTATGGGGAAACACGTAGCAATCAACGACCGGGCAGATGAAGGGCAGGGCAAAGAAAGAGTTGATCACGTAGCTTTCGATGCTTGATGGCACCCAAGGGGGTCTCCTCAAAACCCTCAAATCAACCACACTAATTAGGGCAGGTCGCAGTTTAGGAAACCCAGCCAGCAGGGTACGTATTTACCTTCAAGAAAAACGTTTCCTTTTGTTGACTCTTCTCGGGTTTTCCCATCAGAGGAACTCTATGAGCTTTCTTCCCCCCCCCCCGCTCTTCGACGGCTTTTTTGGGTGGAAAATCTGAAGCTTCTGGAAAAAAAACTCCAGAAGAGTTTTAGGAAGTTGGGAGACTTTAGCGAGATTGAGGGACGGGGTGGGGGTCCCTATTTGGAGAAGTTCTCCCTACAGCAGGAAATGTCCTGTAGCAGAATTCAATTTGTCAGATTCCAAATTGAGCCGCAGGAATGTGGGCTGGGGAACCCACCACACAGCGATGCGCATGAACCCTCCCTACATTTACCTAATGGTTGACCAATTGTACTACCGCACCTCCACGTCAAATTCCTAGGTTTTGGTGCGAATGCGGCGCACGTGACACCAGTTGCAATGCCGCTTTCGTCGCATCCAGCCGCGAGGAGCGGTAACACAAAGCCAAAACGTGAACCCGTGACCTAATAGTTTTTACCAGGGTCACATAAATTCTGTGACGCTTCAACCACGACAGTATATTGTGGGTTTCTGGGGCAATAGGCGAAAACTATTTCTGAAAAATAGTTCCTTTACGAACTAACCTTCTGTTGTGGAATGATACCAGTGCACATGCTATCGACTTCATCCTAGAATTCAAAATAATTTCTTCGCATAGTGTCACGCAGGAGGAAAAATCAAGAGAAAATGTAGGAAATAAATACGAATAAAAATGTACAATATTGGGTGGAATGAAATAAAAAAGCACTGACCTTCAACATATTGACAACTGTATGGACTGTCTCAGTAGCTTCCGCCTGGAATCAATATTTGCTTATTTTGAGGCAGAGAATGTAAATGTTTAAAGACCCCGAAAAGGACAGGATCGTGTGTAATTAAATTGAAATTCTGCGCTCGTTATGTGGGAGGAGTCGGAGAAAACCACTGCGAGAAAACCATTGCGCCTTTCTAATTGGTGCGCTCGTCCTTTCTAACACAGTAAAGCGGAGTGGTATGGTGAGAAAGACACAATGGTACGATTGACTGTACTCGTAGAATGTGCCCTCAAAGAAGTCTCTAACGGAGAGCTGAAACCCAGTTCCTATCCTAAAAGGCCAAGTCACACAGGTGACATTTTCCGAACACTTCCCCTTCGAGGGGAACTGTTCGAGAAAAAGTCACCTGTGGAATGGCTTCTGCCTTCACAGCTCCATCCAATTCTTCCTACAAGTGCTGAAAAGCTCATTCTTTGAAATGATATTCGCCCAAAGTACTCCCGCCTACACTGAACTTCAAGATAAGATTACTCAGCGAACGGATAACGCCCTAGGTGGGTATTCTCGAGGCCAAGAAGTGATGGAGGCTACAGTCCTCACGCCGACCTAGTTTTCATTCATCCACTATTCCATGAAAATCCTTACCTCATCTGATGGCTGTTGATGGCTTTCGTCTAGTGGACGTGGAAGATCCAAAACTGGACGGAATGTGGTGATCATTTTCACTTCCTCAGGTGTGTAGAGCTCTGTTAGAAGCGGGCCTGCAAATGAACAGCTCAGTGGCGATAAATCGACCAACAAGACGAAAGGTTAGGCAAACACGAACCTTGGTGATGTACTGCCATCGCGTCAATTTTGAATGTAAGAACGTGGGACATTGTAGTCTTTCGGTGAACAATAGATAACAGGTGGCATTCCGAAGCAACACTTTCACTCGAACGTGTTACCGTAACCCTAAAATAACGATTTGTTAAGCTAGCACCCAATTACCCTTGGAAAAGTCGCACTTACGCCATGTCCCTGGTTTGTCCTGGAGTTAAAATTGTTGATGAAATTGGATGGAGAAGTTGGATGTGCTCCGGCCAGTCTATTGGAGCGACCTGGAATTTCGCAATATTGGAAGGAAATGGAAATATCCAGTGGAACGTACACTCAGATGTAGGTCTTTTCGAGAGAGATTGGTAAGTTTAAAAGTTTTCCCGTAGATGACAGCCGTGCTAGAAAGACGTCCAACGAAACGTGTGGTCGACTCCTGAATTTATTGTAAACAGACGAAAGAGCATCAGAGTACATTCGAAAATGAAGAGCAAAGTGTAAATATGAAGAAGAAGGGGGAAAATGATGACGAACTCACCCCAACCACTGCAACGGTTGGAACTTTATTCAATTTCACGTACTTTTCCAACA